GGAAAGAGGAAAAAGTGGATTTCCCTGCTGTCATTACCCACCTCACCCCTTGAAAACTCAACTTTGCAAAGGAACATTCTCATGTAACTGCCTTCAGAGTGCTGATTTCTAAGGACAGGATCTGGGACTATTATTTTAATATTTTAATTATTGCAGGAGTCTCAGGGAACTTGCACTGCTAATATTCATCACTCAAAACCTTTGAGGAGGAAGCAATTTGCTTCAGAGACTGACACAATGTATGATACAACAGAAGATTCAAGTAAACGTAGTTCTAGTATGATCACATATATATACAAAAAACTAAGTGAACTAATTATAAAATAGAAGACTATTGCATAAAATATAAGTTGCTGGGTATATTTCATTTGTTACATTTTATATAATTATAGTAAACCATAGATGTTAATAAATATTCACACTTAAATGTATTGAAAATAATGTTACTTTTTGAGAACAGCCAAAACATTTAAAATGCTTCAGAAACATAACAAGTTGCTACGCCATATTGCATATAATTAAAGAAAACACTTCTTCCTTGCCCAATGTAATTGTATCAGGCATGCCAATTCCTAAGCAATATTTACAGATACATAGCACAACAAATCTGCCAAGATGCGTACAACTGTAAGAAATGAAACCATTTCTCATGCACATGAGTACATGTCAAATACTTTGGAAGCCAGAAGTATCACTTCAATGTTCAATGAACACACATATTATTGTTCAAAAATATGAGCACAAATGTAATGGAAACAGAACTGTAACTACCAGCAAACCACCAAAAGGCATACAAAGCATCTGTTTAATGTTTCTAAACCTTTTAAGTGTAAGAGTAGAAATCTTCAGCCACTGATTTTATACATGACATATATTTCAGGCTAAAGGCAAGAAATAACCCAAAGTAGCTGACACTGTAGTTTGAAACTGCTACCAAGCAGCTTAGCACCCACAAAGTCACAGCAAGCAGTAAGCAAGAAGTGTTCACTCCATGTGTAATCCTGAAAGAGCACAAATTAAAGATAAACATGCTCGCAGTCAGGTTAGCCTTAGTTATGGGTCCATGTTGACAGGTGAGAAGGTAGCAATAATATCTTGAAGACAAACAGTGAGTCTGGAAAAAGTAGAAAGCAAGCCCAAAGCACTGAAGAAAAACAAAAAAGAAACCCCAAACCCTTTGGTAGTAACAGTATATTAAATTTTGCAGAGTGTACAATTAAGTGCTCTGTTGGAAAAAAGTAATATGAATGAAAACATCATCAAGAGAAAAGGTAATAAAAAAGCAGAACAGAAGGATACAAACAGAACAAACAAACTAAAAAAAACCCCAAAACAACCAAAAAACTGACCAGAAAACACTATTATCTGGCATATGAAAAGTCATGCATCACTTATTTAAACAACAACAAACTCTTGGTTTCAGAAACAGATCAAATTCTGCTTTCTTTGTGTCAACAAGCACTGATAATGCACTGAGGTACCCGGACAGCATTCATTATCTAGATTCAATAAATTAGATAACTTAAATTCAAAGGTGTGCCTCATTATTTTCCAATTATTTTAAAAGGCCTGTTAGATAACCCCATGAAAGTAATTATTTCTGGAATTATAAGAATAATACCCTTAAAAAATAAATACCAAACTAAAATTGTAGACACAAATGTCTCAAGCTGAACTAGGAAGAAAATCTGTAGCATAGGACAAGATCTTCCTGATTGTAACCATTTTGTGGGTACTTCTGCAGTATATTGCTAATCATCTTTTCTTCCTAGGGTTAAAATAAGTGGGCATATCTTAATGTAAACAAACTGCAAACAAAAGTCTTGTGTATATAAATATTTATAAAACTCAACCCTATGAGAAACTGAGACATCTGCATGGCTTTAATTCAGGATCTTCTAAAACTGCTCACTGATATTACAGTGTTACACGATTGCATGGAGATTTCAGAAGACAGAGGACCATGTTAGAGAGCAGGCACACTAACAGATCCCCTTCTGATTATATTAATAGAAGCACACAGGCAGCGAATAGCAGGCAGCGAGACACAAGCTGCTCTGCTCAGCTTTTCATTCAAAGAAATCCTCACATTTGCTCTCTAACAGATTGGGAGGGGAGGTTTTCCCAGTTCCACCTGGGCCTCTTCTTGTGCTGCCACTTTATACACAAAGGGTGTTGAAGATAAAGTAATTTTCCAAGAAAAATCCCAAGAAAAACTCATGAAGAAAGAACCCATAATACTTCAGACATACAAGCAAAAAATGGAAGAGTACTTTTGCCTTGCTACGTAAATCTCAAATCATCAGAAGGCCTCCCCCTATGGAAAAGCAGGTGAGGGCTTTTGTGAAGGTTATCAGTGACAGAGAATGGAGATTAAAAGAAAACCTTTTTCTAGCTTCCAGTTTTTTCCCTTCTATGATTAGTTTTGACATCAACATGGAAGAATGGCAAGTAAAGAGCTGTAACATATAACACACCACACATTTTATTTGTATACCAGAAATGCATGGCAGGAGTTAAAATTTATCTTTCTTTCTAATTTATGGCAAAATTGAGATAAAAAACTTACTTGGTTATTTACCAGGTTCACATTCATCATATTCAAAATTACCATCTTGCAGTTCCTCAGTAAGTTCCAATCCACCTATTGAAATTGCCAGGCTGCCAGCAAACACCAGGCTGTTCTGACAAACTGGGCAGAAGAGCCACTGAAGTTTTGGCAGTACTTCAGAACAACCACTGTTCACAAAGGAAACATTTTAAATGAGACTATTTTAGGTTTCAAATGGGAGTTTGAATGGGATACAAAGCACCTCCTAGGAGATGTTTAAAATCAGTATTGAAAATAAAAAACGTTTTTTCCTTTTTCATGTTCCTCACCCTGAATTTTTTCTATCAGGTTTACTTTAAACTCATTCAAAGCGTATATTAATAAATATTTGGGGGAGACAGTCTCTTTAATGCACTAGATAATTATCTCTAAGCTTAAAAACTGTATCAGATTATCTTCTCTGTCCACAGCTAAGCCAAATAGGAAGTTATTCCCCCTACTTTGCACTGCACATAAATAACTGCCCTCCACCTAGATCATAAAGTCCCCTAGAATTTAAGGGTAGTGCCACAGCTGTTTCTCAAAATAATCCAAAGGAAAACAAACATTATTAAATCCTTTTAGACGAACTTGGATAATTTTTAGTAAACTGGATTAAAGAGCAATTAAATATGCAGTCATGTTGCCAGATCAGGAGGATGGGAAGCCATACAGAGGGGAAAATGGCAAGGAGCTGCCAGAAGAAAATTCTTCCTCCATCTCTGACTGGGTTTGGACACTGTACCTGACTGTAGCCTACACCACTTCATTTTGCCAGAAAACACTACTCCAAATAAAAACACAATGCAGAACTAGATCCTGGTATATTTTAATGGCCCATTAAAGACTACAGGACAGCCTGACAGGAGCCCATCCCACACTCAAGTTCTGCCAAGATCAGCATGGGAACATGAGGATCAGGAGGTGCAGCTGGGTGGAGACAATCCCGCCATGACAAAGTCCCTACATTGCTATGGTTCTCTGGGCAGTTACATTTGACTCCTCTACATGGAGTATGTAAAGGAAAAGCTTCAGAAGATGTGATCCAGCCCCTGTATTTAATTTTTTTGTATTTATGTGAGTGACAAGAAACACTAAAGGCTATAAATAACATTTTACAGTATTAATATTTCCCCTTTGAAGACTTCTCCAGGGATTTTAATTAGACTCTCCCTTAGCACCATTAGACAATTAAAGTAATAATAAAACAAGCACTATCCTTCTCACCCAGTGTGTATTTTCCCCAGTCTCTCTCAGTTTCCTGTCTTTTTCACTTTATGTAAATAGAAAACCATCACTCTGTTTAAATTCAGCTGTTTGATTGGTATTTTCAGTTTGCAAAGTAGTGAGCCACAGTAACACCATGCTGATATCAAAAGAAAAGTCTGCATCACACAACTGTCTAATTCCAGCAGCCAGCAAATTCCTTCTGACATTTATTTGACTCATTTATTCTTCTGAGGATACTCTAGAGATGCCAAAGCTTTGGGAACAATTGCCTTTCTCAGTCCCACTATCTATAAATACTTAATCAAGAAGGAATATTTGACCACAGACTGTTCATGCTGAGACTCGGTGTAGCAGCACAGCGATTTGGCTTAATTAACTAACTTCTAAATATTGATCTGCAAGAGAAAATGAACAAAAATGCAGATGCATCTGTAGTTACCTTAATAACAGATAGTTTAGACAAGAAATTGAAAAGGACCCTACTATAAAATATTTAAAATGTTCTAAGTTTCCACTAATTTTAATGTTTCCTATTTTATTTGCTTTACTTCTGATATCTAGGGCATTAGGAAGAGTAGCAGGCACTGGGAAATTTCAGTTAATAGATCAAAATATTAAGTTGGTAAGAGCTGAGAGGCATTTTTAACCTCAATTGCACATGAGAAGCAGCAGCTAATAGTGGATTTTGGATCCATGATGACAACTTGGCCATCTGGCATTCAGCCCTCTGTTGAGCCACTTGCCTATGATAGCATTTTTCATTCTCAAATTATGAAACCTTTACTCAAACAGCAGGATACCACACACTGCAGGTAACTTCAGGAGGATCACTAGTGTTTAGGGCATCCATGGAAAGTATAAAAAATCCATTTGGAAAGCAATATAAGTCACCAGCAGCCTAGCATCCTCAAGACAGCCAAGAAAACATAAAGCTTAACTGAAAAAAGGGTTGTAAAGCAGCATTGAAATAAAGCAGTTTTTCACCTAAACACTGTGAAGCATAAACATTGATGTTCTGACATTACGACAGCTTAACTTGCTCCTGTGCCAAGTTAATCCTGATTCTAACCAAGGTAAGTTCTCCAATTTAGGTTAGACTTCAGGAATAAATTATTCACCATGAG